CCTTGGCAGTAACTAGTTCATGAAATTAATTCCAATCCAGTCCTTTCTCATTTTTTTAAATTCTATTAACTCAATTTTTCAATATTCATTACCATTTCTGCTGACAGATGACACTACCTTCTTGTCTGCACTACTCCTTTTGGGTATAAATATAAATGTGGCTTTCCCGTCATTACACCTGATGAGAGGTACATGTACCTGTTTGCCCTCAAAATTGATAGTCTTGACTAAATCTACACCAAACATAAGGTTGTTTCTTTGTCTATTTTTAACATTTGACTCACGAGTGTTAGTCTTCTGTCTTGATAATTGGAAAAAAGTTCACCCACTTTAAATGAAAGCTTATTCACTCTTAGTGCTCTCTCTAACATTAAAAAAGAATGAGTTACCTATTTACTTGGGTTATCTTAAAATAAAAATCCAAATTGAAAATAAAAGGGCCCCAATAATCTGCAATAGACTGTACAGCATTTTTTTTACTACAAGGAACACCACAAGAGTGCTAGCAATTTCAGACTTACTTAAGTCTGTTAAGGTAAAAAATTAGAAACTTCATATAGAAACAGATCGTGAGCTCAAATTTCCTCAAAACCTTTTCATTACAATTTTACCAGAAAGGTGTCCATAAAAATATCTAAATTATTAAAAGGATACCAAAAACTCGCACTTCATGAAAGAAGGCAATGAAGACAATCTACGACCTGCATTAAATGCTTACGCTGATTTTGTTCATTCCTTCCTGCACATTCTTGTAGCAAGTCTAGTTTATGTAACTTTACAGCAAGCATATTAAATTCATAGTTGAATACTGGGAACATCCCTAAAATTTATTACAATATTCTTTTTGCATTAATGGTGCTAAAAAATTTTTTTTTTATTATATTTGGATATTCCCTACATAATATTTTATCTTCCTCTTCATTTTCACATACTATATTAAACCCATGTTTATATGTACAGAACTGTTTTTGAAACAGACACAAAAGGATGCACAAAAGAGTATGTTACACTGAGTAATTCATGTCTCAAAAATTACCCTCAAAATGGTGAATCAAATATAGTTTATAATACAATTAAATATAAAATTAATATCACTGACCAAATATGTTATTAATATGAATTACCAAAAATTTATAACCTACTGGTAACTTTGATTATTACTACACATTCTGAATACTGAAAGTGTTGATGCTTTCATAATGAACCATTCTGCAATCAGCACACTGTGTCCTCAAGGAAAAGATCACAACTCACTGTTATCACAATTCTTGCAACCAAATGTGCGCTTAAACCTATTTTTTCTTACATTATTAATAAAATCGAGGTTTAAAAAATATACTGTTACATTTCTTAAAATTTATGAAAATGTAACCTTTTCAAGAGGGAACACATTTTAACTGCATTTTATGATAGAAAATGCAAAATTCAATAATTTTTATGTGTAATATTTTTCTCATATATGTTTAGGTTGAATAATTCAACATAGGAACTTTCTAGTTTAATAACACATATTAAAGAAATTTAAAACAAAGTGATGGAGGTTAATATTTAACAAATATAATACTTTGCTTAAATAATAAGCTTAATTGTTCGTTTTAAGGGAGCTAGATTAAAATATTTTCTGAACATAAAAAAGTACATGAATGCTGATCTTACATCATGCTGGTACTGCTAATAAAGGAAACGTTTATTAGTAAAGTTACATATAACTAAAGGAATAGTTTTTAAATGTCATATAATTCATCTAACTATACATTTTGTAACATTTTAAAAACTTCTGTCTTTTTACATTTCGTAAAATCAATCTTAACACAGCTGTGATAAATGCTCAATTCAATAAAAGTAACTGTGTATTAAATTAGTACAACCTCTCTCAGTAACTGCTATTGCAAGCCAGTGAAACACTACTCTTCTCTACTACTTTAACAATACAAGTTAAAAAATATGTTACATATTTTTCCTCAGAACTACAAATGTTAAAATGGTTTAGTTTATTTGATTATGGCTCATGAGAGCTATCTGTTTAAGGGGGAGGGATGTTTTCATGGAGGACTTTTTAAGGAAATCTGGCTCTGACTCATATTCACACTACACATCAGAAAACATATGAAAATACCCTTACAATCCGTGTCTTTGTCTGGAAACAAACCCAGGCCAAACTACCAGTGTTCAACGACTTTACTACTACTCAACTCTTGGAACCAGAAATAAATGTTAAGAATAACATTTTCATATGTGCATTTAACAATAGTGTTAATTTTTTTTTAAGATGAGAGATTTTTATTTTTTTTTTTATTCACTACTGCAGTTTTATACAGTAGTAAAACACCTAAAAAATCATCACGCTACTGTAGTTTTGATAACCTCAGTTGTTACAAGTCTGAAGCAGAGAAAGCTCGGTTTGCTAACAATAGCAAACACAAGTATATAGAAGAAATTTTAAGACACACACTGACAGAATAAGATTATGGACTATTAATGGTTACTGATAATAATTTTAATAGAAGAATAACTTCATATAAAAATATTTTGCATCAACATTATTTGATCATTTTCAATTTTTTACCTTAGCATACAGTACACTTTCAAAACAGTTACCTATTCTTATAATAGAAATAGCTCTCCCTCAATAGTTTTTTAAACTTTTGAATTCTTGTCCCTAAGCATGCAAATCAAAGCACTACATTGACATGACATTACCTACTAATTACAGGATTCCATTACTATTTATTAAATTAAAATGTGTTTACTTCATTTCTTTACAGAAATAAAACAAAAAAAAAATACTTCATTAAAGGAATATTTAGATGATAAACCTCATACAATAAATCAGTTGTCCCAAGAAGGGGAGAAATGCTTTGTTCCAATACGCAAACTTACTATAAAACATGTATGCAACAAAAGCGGTTAATATCCAACAACTGTTTAAAAAATATTGTATATTAAGAATTTGTAATTAATATGCTAAAAATCGACTGAATTTTGATTAATTCAAATAAATGTTTCAAAGTAATTTTAAGACTTTTATGTTTGACTGTTATACTTAAATTATGAAATACAAAATTGAATATTTTGGTCATAGGAACAAAACACAAAGGTACACTGTAGGTGTGTTATAACACACCTACAGTGAAGTCCAGTCAGTCCCTTTATGAAACAGTGGGAAGAATGCCAAGTAGTGATGCAGAAAGCCCAATAACATGTATTTTATAAAGAAAATAAATGACAATGGTAAATTTTGTCCAAAAGCCTGAATTGTGAAACTGTCCAGAAAGATCAATGTATGTACATTCATTAACAAAACTGATAAATTTGCATGGCACAGAAAAATTTACATAGAAATTAATAAAATAATTTTTTTAAAAAAGCTTCTGTGTTCACTATGTGCTGATCATGATAAAACTACAAAAAACTGTCTAAAGTGCATTTCAAGTGAATTTTCACCATTCTAAGAAGAAAACTGTTCAGTGGACTACTTTTCACATTCATACCATACCATACCATAAAAAAAATTCTAAAATTGGACACTTGAAAGAATAAAATTGGACACTTGAAAGAATTCTAAAACCAGAAACTTGAGGTTGTTTATGGTTTACTATCACAGTCCTGCTTTTGTAATTTATCCTAGCTTTGGAAATACACATAATGCATTTAAACTGCTTATTGCTACGAAACATTTTTCAGATTTAATTAAAGTATTAAACCTCTAAAGAGCAGAAATTTAATACTTTAATTAAAAAGACGATCATAATAACAACTAAAAACCAGCAATTATTCATTGAAATGGTTGGTATTGATACTTATGATTAATACTGTTTCATTTTAATTTCGATAAAATTAAAAAGTGAAAAACTAATTTTTAAATGTTTGAAAAATGTCTTCAACACATCAGTTTCACAAATGCTTAAAAGCACCAATGACTTCTTTCTTCCATGAAAAAGAACTTGATCATAAGAAGTGTTTTATGAAACTGCTTAGCCCCCAAGTACTTCAGGTAAATGGGATTCCATTGCACACAGCAATACTCCTTTAAGAACTTACCTTCAAAATCAACAGAAATCACAGCCTTAACATCAGTCAGGGCGTATTTAATTCTTAAAGTACAGGAGCCCTCACCAACGACCGAGTGGTTACCTGAACTCTGGGAATTCAACCCAGGTTTGACTGGGCTGCTATATAGCTGGTTTTCATTGCTTTCCACATATGTAACATGAATACAAGTCAGTTTTGCTCAGCAAGTGCTATACGAAAGAACCCTCCCCTCAAGCAGAGAGCCTTTGTATACACTGGGAGATGTTCAAACAGCCTTTACTTAAAACACATTGATAAAAAATAATTTTTCCACATCTGTAATAATGCTTAAAATCTTTCAAATTTCGAGAGCTCAATTTAATGTACAGTTAAAGCCAAATTTGGAAAAAAAAAAAAAAAAAACCTATATGGATAGTTGAAACTTAACATTAGAGGTAAAAACATATTCAATCTTAATACAGCTAATGCAAATTGAAATCACATTCACTGTCCCATATTGAAAATACAGGCTAAAAAATACTTAATATACATATTTTAGTAATGCTTAACCAAAGGAACAAGAACCAGAACTGACAAACCAACTTTTTATGAGAGTGAATGATGCTGCAAGGCATGCTGATTTAAAATTTCAACTGTTACCCAAATATTAATACTCAAACATGCAAGGAAAATACTTTTTATAAAAACAATTTCCTAGCAAAATTTTTACTTTTTTTTTTTTTTTCATTCATTTAAAATCTAGTTTCTCCCCATTTCAAAACTTTCTTTCTTACAGATTTACAGATTACATTCATTTCTTACATTTCATTAGGAAAACACTATGCCATTTTTTTGACAAGAATAACTCTACATTTCTCTTAAGACAGACTTTTTACATTAACTGTGGAAAACTGACCAGATACTGAACCTTGAAAAACCAAGGACTATGATTTAGAGTGGCATCTCAGCCACTACACACTTACAAAAAAAAAAAAAAAAAAAAAACTCAGTAACCTAAGGAGAGTGTATATGAAATATAAAAGATTTTTTTATCTTTAATAAAATGGCCTTTCAATATGAATTGCCTTGAAAAGATGCACATACATCACAAAAGAAAGAACTACAACGTAAAATATGAGAAAAGTTTAAATGTTAATAGAAAACTGTTTAAAATTCAATATGTAACAGATCTAAGAACTCCAAATTAATTTCATTTGTGAAGAACAAAAAATTTTAAAAATCTTGCTATACTTCAAATATGGTAAAGCTTCAACAACCTCCTTTTAAACACAAACATTAGCAGATATGTACATTCAGATATTAAAGAAAATTTAAAAAACAAAATCTTAAAATTAAAATATGCCATATGGATACAATATAAATAACATGCCAAAATATAACATTATCACAATTTTTCTATACTTTCTAGATTTTAGACACAAAATAAAATAAGATACATATACATTGCCACATTCCCCTTCCCATAATTTAGAAACATTTTTCATTACATTTTAATAAATTGATAGTGTACACTTAATTTCATTGAAATACCCTTAATTAAAGATATCTTTTGAACTCTTATAAAGCATAATTTTCCTTTGAAGATCATCAGAATTTCACCAATTTCTGAAATACCAAGTAATTAACAATAAACATTATAAAATATTTACCCCCCTCCAAAAAAAACTAAAAGAAACTAATGTTCTAGCCATTTTTTGAATTTATCCTCGGAGTTCATTTCAGTAAGATGTCTGACAAATGAAATTATTTCCATTTATAAATTTTAGTCAAAGGCATTTAGTTAATATAATGCACAAAGGATTGTGTCAAATTTAAAGTAGTTGGTGAAAGGGAATGAAGAAGTAACTTACAATAAATCACAGAGACATTATTAACATAAATACATAATGGCAGATAAAAAGCTGCAATACTTCAATACAAATAGTTCTTTTGGGCCTCAATATACAAAAAATTATAAAATTTCTAATATATATGAACATTTTTGTTATCAGATTCTGATTTTATAAGCTTTCAAAAACCACATGAGAATTTTTTCAGAGGGTGCTGCATATTTTAAAGATGAAAATCCCTACTGAAATATTTTAGTGATTTTTGATTGTCATTACTTTGCACTTGCACAGGTTTTCTATCTTTGAAATAGCACATGAACAGGTTTTTCTATCTTTGAAATAGCACATGAATAGATAGCACAGATCAACAAAAGACCATTTGGCATAGACAAATAACCTGATTTCAGCATAACTGAGGTGTTTAAACACACAATAAAATTTTATACCATGATAAACATTAACAAGCCAGCATTTAAATTGATACAACTGTACATATATACTAACATGAGTAACCAGAAATGTTTTCTGCTTGTTGGCACTCAATATTCATGATTTTCATGAATGAAATTAGAAAACAAATGAAGGCATAAGAATATAACTTCTCATTCCAATAAGTCCCAGCTTAAGGCACTTTTGAAATGCTTTCACTTATGTAACACATTTATGTACTAATTATAAGAATATATGAATACTGTATTGTGTCACACTTGAACTCCCAGTTCAGGATCAATAATATACTCAAACCTTTGCTGCACATTATTCTGTTCACTACTGCTAGCAAGAGGCCTTAACTGAGAACTTGCTTTTACTGTCTGAATTCCATCTGTACTTATTTCTGATGGTAACAAGGGGATAGTCATATCAACACGTGTGAAAAATGCCATTTTCTCCCTGAAAAAAAATTTTACTCTTAGAAACTAAAAATCAAAATCGTGAGCCACATACAGTATTTATCAGTTAATAAAAACTAAATATAATATAGGCATCAAACAAAAGGTTATAAAAACAACTGTTTAGATTGAATAATAAACAGTAGCAGATTAAATGCAGAAGTAGAGGAATTGAAGTTTAAGAAAATTAGCAAGATTTTAAAAAGCACAAATTTAGCAAAAATACTTTTTCTTTTTGAAGGGAAAAAAAAACTTGCAACCTGTAAAAGCTAAAACATTAAATGCACATACCTTTTAAGACATCTTTCTAAAAATAAATTATATTGCTCAACTATCTAGCTATAACTTGCCTTAAAAAACAAAAAATGGATTACTGATTTTTTTCTAAACTGGGAAAATGCTTTAGTGCCAACATTTCTGAAAACATACAGGTACCCTCAGCTGGCATCACTTTTTATTCCATATGCACAATCATACCTCACTTCATGAATTTCTACATTATGAAACTTCTAAATCATAAATTCATTTTTTTAAACCAAATTTTTCCAACATCCCCTCCCCACCCCAAAAAAATCAAAATTGTCATTACACTGAAGAATCCCCTTTAAACAAGATATATGTTATAAAATTTCATAGTTTAATTATCTACCGTTTCATAATATGCAGAACTAGATGCAAAATTTACTCAAATCAATAATTACACTTTATGGATTATCATTGGTAGTAAGCTGGTTTTATTCAGATGTTAATCCCATGCATAAATAGAAGACTTAGTAATGATTTCATAAAAGAAATAGGAAAATAAATATACGAATTCAGCTATCAGCTTTGTACTGTAAAGCCAGTAAATACTACACCGCCCTGCCAAAAAAAAAGGGGGGGAAAGAGTGCCTTATAAGTTGTATATGCTGCACAGGCCAGTAAAAAAAAAATTGAATAATATAACCATAGCTACATAACTACTATATGTCTAATAATATTTTAAGCACATCATTTGTGCAATTCTGGCATTAAAAATATGACAGAAACTATAAATATAAAAAAAATAAAGCCAAAGCCTGATCTAAAGTAACCCAATGCAACAATTTTCATTCATTCAGCCAGAAATTTACAAAACTAATGACAGTTTATTCTCCATTATGATTATTTTTTAGATAGCACTTTTCTTACATAACTTAAATCCAAATAAAACTGTTAGCTTTACAAGACTCCCAACTAAGTTCTATTTTCTGTAAAATTAATATACAAGCTACTAAACATATTGGATTTTTTTTTTTAAATTAGTTTCATACTAGGCAATGGAAATGCTAAGCAGATCAAAACTAATTTTCTCCCTCACTGCCACTGACTGCGGAAATCACTGAATGATTGTCAAAATGACCATAACATATATACCATTGATAGACAGCTTTGCAATCTTTGAAAGGTAGCCAGATATACTTTGAATTCTAACTTGCTAGTACGTTCACCTTGTGAACTAACTATACTTCCTCAAAAAATGCAGCCCAAATCACTGAATCACAAATTAAAAAAAACTAACATTCTTCTAAATTTCTATTCACTGACTGACCAACAAATTTCATTAAATGATGCACTTTCCTTTTTTAATTTTCAGTTGTGAATGGTAGAAAAGATGACTGTGAACCAACATGGCTTAAGAAGACACTATTATAAGGTAAAAAGAATTGTCACATTTCTTCATTAAAATCAGCAAAGGGATGTTATAGAAGCTGAATGCTATTTTATTTACTTTTTGACAGGACGTAGTTTCTTATTATTGTGTCTAACCATACAAAACAACTTATTAAAATTTTTTCTCAATTCTGCTGCAGGGGAGCTTCAGGCAAGTGTTGTAATTGTTAAAACACTTGCAGGAATTACCGTAGCAATATTATTAAAGCAATATAGAATACATCACTTGCTTTAAGTACTGGCAAAAACAATGGTAATGGTTAGGTCAATTCAATTGTGACTTCAATTGTGACATATAGCAAAGGCAAGAATAACTATTTCACTGATGACTTTTAGAAGGTACTAGCAATACTGAGGAGCATAGTTTTAATCACATTAATGAATATTTGCTAAGCACAGTTTTAGTATAAAAAAATTGCTAATCATTCTTTTAAGACAACTGCAGTAACATGTTGGGAAATTAAAAAAGGCAACAGCATCAATCTGTAGCAACCAGTAATACCTGAAGTCAGCTCCTATATACAGCTGCAAAAACAGCTATTCAACATCTAGTCACCTAATATTTAGAAATGTTGTTTTACTGATACATGTTTTATTGATTTAAGAAATCTGATGTGTACTTCACATGACTTCCTTGTATGGAATATTATATTATATGCATTTTTTCTTGCATTTCATTTAAACTTATTGGATTGAATTAAATCTACTTCGCCGACAGCGCATAAACCACAACAGAATAAATGCATTCTTTAAAATTCACTCTAGTATTTGTTTACCATAGCTACACTTTGGCGCTAGATTCACTTAACAGTATTATATTTCGTTCATATTATAACTCATAATGCACAAAATTTATATCATTTAAAGTATAGAATTATCTAATCGTGGCCACATGTTCTATTCAAATACTATAATAAAGCTAGAACGATGTATAAAAGAAAGTAAGCAAACAAAAAAGAAACAGTTTTTCACAGATGATTGAGTATTTCTCATTCAATTAATTCAGCTCTCACTTTGCGAGAAGGCAAAAATAAATAAAAACTCAAAATACCTATATTAAAAATTACGAAGTAAATCTTAAACACTTATTTCCTCGAAAAAATTCCAGAGAGGATTAACCCTTTGACATGCGCGATATTATTTTTATAATTTTTTTAACTAAAAACTCTAGAAATTGAATATTATGATCCTAGAGACAAATAATATAACTCTTGCCCATTGTTCTGTAGGTGGTGGTCGCACTGTGAAACCACCGCGCGTCTAGAACTTTGAAACTTGCCGAGGTAAGTAGGAAAAAAAAACTTACCTTTCTCCATGCGCGTTTCTAATAAATGACGAAATTTACGAATTTAAAAAAAATGCATATAGGAATTGCATAATATATAATAGATATATTTTTTTACATTATTTTACAAAGTAAATCTTCAGAAAAAATTTTAAAAATAAACATTTATGTAATTTTTCTATAGCAGTAAAAGTACCTATGTTTGGCTACATGGATTAAAAAAAACCCAATAAAATAAGGATTTTTTTTTTTTTTTTTAAATTTCAAAGAACAAATATTTTTTGTGACACTGTTCAAAGCATGTTTTATCTTTTTGTACATGCATGCCCACATTGCACGTTTCGCCACATGTATCTTCTATGAGGTTTCTTCCTTGTGCTACAAAATGTACACTGATTGGATCTAAATTTCACTGGTATATATACATCCAGAGTTATTCAGTTTCTTTTCATCTGGCCCATGAAATTTGTGGTTTTTTGTTAATGAGGAGGGGCTTGGTCTTTTTGGCTTTGATACGGATCATTTGTTTCCCATTCATATTTATTTTATTTGTATTTCGTCCCAAAATATTCAGAAAATATTTTTAATTTAAATAAAACTTTATGCGATTTCTATTTTTAATTACAGCAAAGTATATTTACATTAAATTTAAACCACAGGAAACAATTTATAAAATCACAAAATAAAATAACTCTGTGATTTCAAAACCCCTTATCTATATCCGGGTAAAAATAAACATTCCTATTTCAGAAGCAAGCAAATGCCATTGTGAAGAGCAGTGGTTTCAAGGCGCGACCACCGAGCCTAGAGCATTGTGACACGATCTAGTGGTGCAGTGGTCGTGCCCTGAAACCACAAAGCAAATGCCATACATATAGAGGGTTTTTTTTTATATATGGAGTTTAAATATTGCTATTTTTTATTGTTTATGATAGAAATCATGATGAGCGATGAATAACTTTTGAAATTTAAAGTTGTTTATATTAATAAAAAGAAGTTATTTTGTCTCATTGAAAACGAATTTTAAAAGGCATTCAATTTGAAGTACTAAGACCTAAAACATGTATGATTCTGCAGTCATTTTATGTTATTTACAGGTAAAAGATCAGTAATCAATTGATTTTCACTCAAAAATTTCGGAAGAAAGAAAAGAAAAAAATTCAAAAATTGGTGGTTTCAGGGCGCGATCCCCACGCGTCAAAGGGTTAAGCATGATTTAATTGGCAATAATAAATTAAGGCATTATCTTTGTTGTTGCGAAGCTAAGTTTCTCTAGATTGGCAACAAATCTACTAGTCTGCTGTTTCAAATGTAAGATTCAAAGGTACAGATGTACTAAAGGCATAAAAACTTTAACCGGAAGATAAAAACAACATAAGTCAATCATTTTTAAAGCAAAAAATGTGCAATTTACAAACATATAAGAGTAAAGAAACTGAGATCACTGAGCCGGGTAACAGAGTGGATATATATAAAAATATATTTATATACGTTTGGTGCGGCCGATTGCAACCAAAATACGAGGTGCACATCTACATGTTATAGCAGACCTATATACAAAATTTCAACGTTCTGAGGCTACTCGTTTTTGAGTTATGCTAGATTACGTACAAACATACGTTCGTAGAGACGGGACGAAAAATTCTCTTGAGAATTAATTTTAAAGCAATTTTATACTTATTTTGGAGGAAAAGAGTCTTTTATTCTGTTCCTACGTACAGATATCACACAAAAACATCATTAAATTGCATTCGATAGCGGTCAAAATGGATATTTTCATTGAAATATGCTGCCTGAAACTTTTCACGATTACAATACTTCCTTTTTACTTCGTACAAGGAAGTAAAAACATACAAAACAAAAAAAAAAAAAAAAAAAAAAAAAACAGATTGCCAGCAAATTAAAAGGCAAAATATTAAAAATTCGAGAATACTGTAGTAAGACATAACTTTCTATTTTAAAGAGTGAAACAAAACGCATTGAAAAAATTACAATCACCTACTATCAAATTATATTCCCTGCTTTTAAAGCACTTTTATTTATAATAGTAAAAATTAATTTTTATATTCATAAACTGAGGACTGAGCTAGAACTTTTAATAAATTTGTTCGATTCAAAATACCAAAAGTAATTTCTGAAGATGCAGATGTCAGTCTGACATCTATTTTATTTCCGGAGTGTATTAAAAAGTTAAGGAAATAAAAAATAATTAATGGTTAGGGCAGACACGAGGTTGCATTTTTTTAAATGCTCATTTGAATGGATTTAAAATTATTAGTTTAACCCTTTGCGACACGCATATTTAAAATATATTTTAATCTTTAAAAAAATGCCTTAGAATAAGTCAGATGGACTTACTTAAGTGCCTTTAAGGCTTGAAAAAAATTCTGCGCTTTTATTTTTTACGGTGGAAGGTGGGATACCGTTTGTCCCACCATGCAACTAGCACATGTCTTACAGCATATTGGTGTATAGCAGGGAAAAAAAAAATTTTATGTGGAATGAATAAACAAAATAAAGCGTGCATTCTAAAATATTCATAATAAACACACTAAAATGCATTTTGTACTTATTGCATATATGCATGACTTGTAAAATTTTGCATATGCACATTTTGCATACATATATTTAATATTTTTAAATTTTAGGAACAAAGAAATATTTTCTTGAATATTATTTTAAGATTAAAATTTGATACTCGTACATATGATACTAAATAAAATATTAAAATTGGCACTTGATTCAAAAACATTTATATATGATTAAAATTGAAAAAAGTCATTTTTCATGAAAACTTTGAAAAACATGTTTTTCATTCTTTTGTAAGCATATGAGGCACTTCACATGTTTCACACACCCAAAATGTTTGTCGTTCTTCTTTCGATATGCTGCAATATGCACATCTTTCTCCTGCTCGTTCTCTTTGGCGTTTTACTTACATTTTTTAGTCTCTTTTCTGGTTGTACGAAAGCGTTTTTTAGTTTTTATTTGAACTGGGGATTTCAGTTCATTCTTTCAGCTGTTTCTTGCCTGCAAATTGCCATTAGACCTTCTATAACTGAGAGAAGAAAATCTTTCATTGTTTTTACAATCATGATCAGGGTTCGCGAACAAACTTAAATAGAATAAATGCGTTTACTATACTCGCATCTAAAAAGTAAAATAAAAAAAATCATGTGCCATCCATTTTTTTGCTTTTGCGGCTATTTCATATAATCCTTTCAGTTGATCAAATCAAGTCGACATATCCCATATTCTTAGTATATGACAATAATGCTGTTTGGGCACAGTACTTTTTTTGTTGTTGTTGTTGTTATTGTTTTCCATCTAGTTCTTTTCTATTAATTTCTTTCATTTCAGTTGCCTTTTCCAAGCAAGACAGGATAGAAACGGATCTTTTATCCTTCCATTTTATGCAATAAATTGAATCATCGCTAACTGAAAAGTCTATATATTCTCTTGACATAAATTTGTCTTTTAAATTTTTGGGTAGATACTTCCGATCCATATTTACAGTGCCACATGCATAGATGAGTCTATCTTTAAAAAGCGAAACAAATTATAACTACTTCCTTTTCTTCTTCAGCAATAACTTCAACCTCAGTTATTCTTTCTTGGATTTCAATTTCATCTGAATCAGAATTGACATCTGAAGCATTTGAGTCGCAATCGGATGGCAATTCAGCAAAAAAATCCAAAGCTTCCTGAGTTGTTAATTTTTTTCTAGACATTTTAGCACATCAGAGCATACAACGGATGTAAAAGCGAGCGCAATCACGAAAAAAAAAAAAAAGATGCAAAAAAGAAAAGAAAAATAATCGTGAGTGCTGCCATCTATTGAGCGGAAATTCAAGTGTGTGGTGGGACAAATTTTAACCCACTTATTTCAACTGCAAAATTAATGTTATAAAATATTGAATCCAATTAAGATTTTTGAAAATAAAATACCTTTGAATATTAAAAAGAATCATACATATCATAAATTGTATACCAAAATTTTTAAAATATTGAAAAATGCGAGATACATGGATATCACTTTTGTGATCCTATTTTGAATATTTTTTGCTTATAAACTTAAGCCCTGGTATAGTAGTAACATCTACTGAGAAAAATAATAACTAAAATAGATTATTTTTAAAAGATTAGAAAATTTCTAACGGAAATTGCTAACTGAGAAAATAAATATTAATTAGGTGGGACATATATTGACCCACCATGCCGCAAAGGGTTAATCAAACAAGATGACATAAAAATTATTAAAGCCAAAATATTAAATAGTTGTTTATGAAATAATGAAACATTTTTTTATCTTTGAAAATCCAAATTTTTTTTTTTGGGGGGGGAACATTTCTTCTAATAAGCAAGTTATTTAAACTGTTTCCTTTTTTGTACAAATATTTTTCTTTAATTTTACAGACAGACATAATTTCATTATCAATTACAGACTTCTATTTCTCCAAGTTCAGTAACTGCCATGTTGAGATTTTCAACTTAACTATCAATTGAAAGCTCATTCTCAAAAAACCTTTTTTTTTTTTTCCTTCTTTTCCATTAGTAGCGATATTTTCTGGATTTAAAGCCATACTACAGATTTCAAAGTCCACTACTTGATTGGGGCATTGTCATCGTAATGAAAAATTTGTTATACCAGCTTCACTTATTAGCACTTTTATACATTTCTTCAAGAATTCTAATAACTGGAAAATTTTGCTTTCTAAAATCTACACCAAAATAATGTTGCTCCTTTGCCTAATTGTAACATCTCACTTTATAAAACTCAAATTGTACTGCCATTTGCTCTTGCCGCTATATAAAGCAAGTGTCATATGCTTTCACTTTGCAGATCCTGCTTCAGTTCTAGAAATAAACTTCTTTTGACATAATTGAAAATTCAAACTTTAATTCTGATAAGATAGTTGTAAAATATCCTGCAAAATATAACAAGCTGAATTAGAAAATTACAGAAATGTATAATTTGCTGTGTTACATTATGTTCTTTACATTCATATCTCATTTTTTCTCTCTTCCCAGCTGCTGGGGGGGATCAGAATGAGCAATTGAGGTCTACTGAAGTTCTTAAGAGTCTAATTCTCTACCTTTCCGGCTGTTAGGCCTAACAAAAAACTAGTACGAATAACTATGGTTTAACTGAACTTAAATTCTTATGAATCTAATTCTCTCTCTTCCCAGCTGTTACACTTGAAAGAAAATGGGTATGAGCAATATTCCACTCCAAACAGATATTATGTCTTGGGACTTTACTTATAGTTTAGATAGAAAAATGTTAACTCTCCTCCACAACCTCTCAAGGGCCAAAAGTGCGGTCAATCAATCTCTTGCTATTAGCCACAGTGTGATTCCCCAGCTGTCTGGTATTTGAAAGCCAAATACACGAATGTCAAGAGAGAAAGATGAAAAAAGTGCTTGTTGTCTGGATACTGGACTTCAAGACTTTGAACTTTGCATCATACATATAATTGATAAATTTCCTTTAATTGATTCATTTCTAAAACATGGTGAATTTTCTCACATGTGGTGGTTCTTAAGTTTAGAAGTCATTTGAATCCAAACTAAAATTAATATATATACCTACAATCACACACATATTTATATCATACCTGAATGAAGTAATATCAGGTTGTTTCTTACGGCTTTTTCTTAGTTTGTATATCTCTCTAGAAGTTTTCTTCAAAAGCTTTTCTATTTTTTTTTCTTCTGAATTAGACTTTGTGACCTAGAAAAAAAAAAAAAAAAAAAAAAAAAAACTTAAAATTATACAATATCTGACTTAATAGAAAATATACAAAAATTGTAACATTTTGACATTGGTGTGATTATAAAATGACTTTTAGAATCAACTGGCGCCCAGATAGTATAGTGGTTAGGGTAGCCTGACTGCGATACCAAAGAATCCCGGAGAAGGCATGGATGTAAAATTGTTTCACAGGAGGTAACGGTGGCCACCTATTAGGTGCCTCCATAATAAAATGGACACCACTTCTGTTCTTAGTAGTGGCCAATGTCGTTATAGGTAAGTGCCCACCATCGGGGGTGGAAAAGAACTTTTGGATCAACTTGTGGAGCAGCAAACATTAGAATGCACAGCAGTTTGCAGAAATAATCAGGAATTTTAGGATTTGACAGCTATGCATTTTAAAAGTGAAATACTACACACTTAAAATAAGAAATCTGTATACTGAATGGCTATCAAATATTTTTGTAAACAGTGTTTTAATTACTTCAATTTCAACTATAAATAATAAAACATATTACAGAAATTTAAGATTTACATGAAACTGAAAGAATGCAAATATTTTAATACTTTCCAAATTAGCATTCGAAGTCAATCCACATTTATACTTTCCTTCTCCTTCCTCCCTCTTTCTCACACACATAAAGGACCAAACAAAGGGGTTCAAATCATGGCGAACGAGCTAGCTGTTTTTGTGAGTTTTCCCTACATGTAAAGTGCATACAAGCCAGTATCATAAAAATGTGCTCCATGAAGACATTCCTTTGCTCAGGCAGACTGCCCTTAAAACCTTTGCCATACTTAAATAAACCACACAAAGATAAGGAATTAACATGCTCAGTTCCCTCACAAGTCACTCTTTGAGCTGTTAAGAGGTGTGAGATGACATGCTTTGACACTGCACGGACAATAACTTGTATAGGAATACCTCCACTTAATATTACAAGAGTCATAACTTCACGGCTAGTGTCAGGATTTTAGCATTCTGTGTTTTGTTCATCAAGGCAGGTTTTGGTCATAAAAGCCACATTGACATATGTCTGGACTTGGACAATGAGATCCCTATAATCTATATGCCCAAAGATGCAATTACTAAAACAACAGTTCCAGATAAACTATTCTCAACTCGTATACCAAAAAGGAATGAGATAGAATCTCTAATTGACCTAAATGCAACAGGATCAATTGAATGTTACACAGATGGATCAAAATCCAACTTCACTGGAGATGGAGCTATTATAAGAACCAAGGGATCTGAAGATTTCATTAGATTTCATCTATACCTTGGTAAACTTAACAACTGTTTTCCAAGCCGAAGTTCTGGCGATCAATATGGTCGCGAGGGAGCTCTTAGCTAAAAATACAGTTGATAAGGATATATGTATTCTCTCTGACAGCCACTCAGCCATCCTTGCCCTTGGCTAATCGTGTCAAGTTACAAAACTGTGTTTTGAACTGTACTCAAGATCTCAATTCTCTGGCTCAGGCCCATAATACCATTAGTTTAGTCTGGGTCCCAGGTCATTGTGATTTTCCTGGAAATGAACTAGCTGATAAAGTAGCTAAAGATGCTTCGCAACTACCCATGCCTGGCCCAGAACCATTTTATCCAGTTTCATATCAAACTGTTAAAAAAGAAGTAAGAAGCTGGATAAAGAACAAACATGATGATATATGTCTAAACTACCAGACTGAGCTCATTCTAAATTGGTGCTCAGTACACTTAACTTTTCAGGTAAACTCATACACCTCAGTAGAACTCACCTACGCCAGGTAATTCAAATTGTTACTGGACATGTTTATCTAGCTAAGCATCTCCACAAATGTGGTCTTGTCAAATCTCCTCTCTGCCCAGCTTGTGGAGAAGAGGAAACACCTTTTCACTTTCTGGGACGATGTCCGGTGTTTTCTGCCCCTAAAAACAAATTCCTTGGGTTTCCCTATATTACCTTTGATCAAGCCCTTCTATACAAAGGGCTCTCTGGCATAATAGGGTTTCTGATGTATACTAAACACCTACAGGTAAGGTGAATTTGAAACCACAAGAAACAAGCATTCAGATGCCCTATGAGTTCTTTCCCCCCCCTTGAAAAGAAACTATGCAGGGATTTCCCTCTCATAGCTGTTTTTTGGAATATAATTTGAAAATATATATCAAATCTTTATACACTACCTGGCCATTTGGCTTGAGAATGCACCTCTGCCCTCCTTATTTATTTATTTATTTATTTGACTCGACTCTCCATCGCACTCTTGTTTGGTCAAGAATTTGCGTTTGGTGGTTTGGGAAAGATTGAATCGGTTTTCCATCCAACAGGGAAGTTTTCACAATCCAACCGACACCTTGAACTTAGAGATGGGATCTTTTGCTGATACTATAGATTTGGTGTCAGTTTGGGATCTTATCTATTTATTTATTACTTACCTTTTACGGGAGTTACCATTTAAATCCCTTGATTTAAATGATCAAATGGCAGAAGAGTAATGGGCAATATTGCCTAAACTCTTTTCCTTCTTTTCATAAGAAGGAAGCGCCACTATTGTTATGTTATGTTATGTGTTCATCATCAAAGCCTCATGAATTCAAGGGGCTGAAGATCAAATGACCCTTTAGCTCCTCTAATATCAGCTTCAACCTTAACAAATCAGAGGAAGAAAAATACAACTGAAAAATTAAAAGGGCATCAATAATTTAGTCTGCAGATTGTTTCAGACAAAGCAAAAACACAGAACACTCTAAGACTCTAAATAAGAGACACTCTAGCAAGATCCTCCTATACTGAGGACAACTTAACCTCCAAATAATTTATTTCTATACATTCAATATTAATTATCAATTGCTATTGTATTGCAATTGATTGCTTCCCACAAATTTATAATATATGTGCTTTTAGTTCTATATGCAGTAAATAATACACAACCTAACTAGTACACCAATTAGTAACCTACCAATCATAACATGGAGTCACCCCATTAGGCACTAGAGATCACATCAGTGATGATCGAGGATCGAGAAGTGCTTACTGAAATCAAACTATCAGCAACTATTCCAATAGCTAAAACCACAGTTTCTCTGGAAAACTTCCATTACCTTCTGATTCAGTACATTTTAAAATAAATGCTTAATCACTTGCATTTTCAAGTGTGCAGCAAAACTCTTCATATGGATTTTATGATAGAAATTCCTACTACACAAGTATGCCTTTTATACAGCCTGTTTTACTGCACTGGATTTTTAAGGCAATCCAAAGCATTCGTCATCCCAAAACAGAAACTTAAATCCACCTTTCCCAACTAAATTCCTCAAACGGCAGTTGAAAAATCTTGACATCAGATCAAAGCAGCTTCTCCCTCAATAATCTGAAACCAGATATTCATCTCCACTACAAACATTGAAGCACTTAATTATCACTTCCAACAACTTTCACGATTGTGAAATAATGCAAGTGATTGTGTGTACAGCAGAGTACACACAAGTACAGCAGAGTACGAGTCTTGAAAAACATTTGTGTTAAGTGCCTGCTATTTCAGCAAACAAGATGCAAACAAAGAACTGCAATGATGGGAATTGATTTCTTTGCTCCCCTGCATTTTGTCATGACTAAATTAATGTATCAAACAGCTGATCTGTAAAGGCTTACTCATCCTTTTCCCTCAGTGGGGTGCCACTAAAGCAAAACATGCCCCCAATTCTATTGTCTGTCACTTTCAGGAAAAACACACCTTTCGAAAATTGCAGAGTTACAGATTCAAGAAACTGTGACAGATCAGGATTACAAAGTGGTTTTGAAAATACCACCAATCTGGAAATCAAATATCGCTTTATGCCTAATGTAATGTGAAATGGCATTTGATCAAGCTGGCATTATCGGCGATAACACCAAACTTTCGCATACTGTAGCAAATTTAGATATATTTAACATCTCTTCAGATATAATCTTAACACTTCCTGAGAATTACAAATATCTACCTTAAAAAACAGACTATTATTAGGATTTCAAGATTCTGAATTTCAATAAATACTTAAACTCTTATCATATTAAGTGACAAAAGCCTAGTTTTCTTACAAAACAAATTAAAAATTTGACAGCAAGCAAAATACATGATGATTTTCTAAAAAACTTATGGATATTAAGGCTTCCTGTCAATATGCAAGCAGTTTTATTAGCTCCTGATGCAGATACAATTTGTCTAGCCAAATGGCAGATAAGCTTTTGGAAGTCACAAATAACCAACTATTTGCTAAGCATCAAATACTAAGCAAAATACAGTGTTTTCTTAAGCATCAAGCTTAATGAACAAATAAACACAGAATCTCACTAAGCAAGTTGAATGCTTATCCCAAAAACAATACAATCAAAATCCAGGATACTGCAATAACCACAATCTTAAAAAAACAGGCAATGTACTTTGCACACAAATAATGCCAACACTGTTTACTGGTGTCATCAAGAGTTTACAGCTGATGCTTGTATGTTCCTCCATGCCCTTTTCAATCAGAAAAATAAATCCGGCTGCTATTCCAAAAGAAGTCATGGATACTCGAATAGCAACAAGCACTTACAGATTATATATATATATATATATGAGATAAACATACAAACATGCACTTTCTTGTTGATACAGGTAGTGGCATTTCGTTCATTCCTGTGCCACGAGGAAAACATATTAGTGGTACTGCTTTAAAGCTATTTGCTACAAATAACACAAAAATTTAAATGTACGGCATTATGACAGGGAATTTAACTCTTCATTTCAGGCAAAATTTTAAACGGAATTTCATGATTGCTAATGTTTCAATTCTCATAACAGGAGCTGATTTCACTTATTTTGGCTTACCAGGCAAAACACAACTCCGGCTGCTACTGGCTGATTACAGTGCAATATTCAGTTGAATGTTAAGACTGTATCCGAATTTCATAAAATACTTTGATTGTTTCCTAAACTAACTAATTCTGCTATACATAGCAAACAATCTAACGTTCAATATATCAAAACTAAAAGGCAAGCAGTCCATCCCAAAATACCTGTCTTCTTTCCAGTCATTTTTATCGCGATTTTCTACTTCATTCATTTGCACTTTGGCAGATGGTTCTGTTGTTAATCTATAGAAACTAGTCCTGAAAAATTTACAAATATAATGCTGATTCCTACTGTTTGACTTCTCCAATAATCATTATTCAGCATGTTATTTTAACCATGAACTATGAACTTAAAACTTTATGGAATCATGCTAGAATGGATTCAAGGACATAACAGTAAGAAGATGTATAATTGAAAGCTAAAGAAAAGCTCTTAATTATACATTCAAACCTATTTTCAGTAAAGTTAATCTTGATTTAATAGTTAACTGTTAGGTCTATTTATACTAAAAATCAATATTAAGGAGGTGGGCAAACAGTAGTAAATATTCAGTTTTCCAATAAATAATACTTTTAGTTGAGATACGATATATTATGCAAATAAGACTGACTTACTCCTTTGCTTACCCCAGCCAAAGCAAGTTGCAGATTTTCATTTTCAGTAACCCAACGAGGCACATCACAGTCACCTACAATAGCAATGAAAAAAATTAATAACAATAAATTGATACCATATTCATACAACATAAATGAAATATGAAAACTTGAAAATTAGATGTTTAATTTTTTTTTTTTTTTTTTTTTTTTTTTTTTTTTTAACACCAGCAAGCTTAGATTAACACTGATTTCAACCTAGTTCAGACACTTAATTTCAACTTAACACTTTGACTTAATTTTGTTTGCAGTTTTGTTTCAATATGTTTTGGGACAAATCCCTCATTTCCTAAAAATCAATCAATAATTACTACAATTAAAAAACTCATATAATGCTAGAGAAAACATAAGAATTATCTTTATAACAGGAAACTGATAAAAGCTGAAATTAGTAGATTTCTAATGACAGTTTCCAATTCAACAGAATTTTTAAGTGGAAAATCCTCAGGATTATTCCCTTAACACAACGTAACATCTTTTACTAGCAATGCCTTTGAATTTTTTTATGACAATCTCTAGGTAAAAAAACTTTGTTGCATTTCATTCACTTTTCATCACAACAATTTCAAAGTCTTTACATGGCTTATTTATATGGTAGCAAAAAGGATAAGCAAATGGTTAATTGCACGAGCCGTCTTGTTTATTTTCAATCTGCAAGCTTCCACGTTTTGTGACGATGACACAAATGGAAACAGTTTAATAAAACCGTCAGATCAAACAACAAATTTCCTCAACATCTCTTCAAATGTAATTTCTCAAAGATTCCCATTTCTAAGAAATTGCAGAGTTAGGTCCCATAATTCTTCATTCCTTCTGATTTCTTTATCTATGAAGTTACAAATAGAAACTTGCCATTTAAAAAAGTTTTGCTCAGAAATGGAACTTGTTCCAAAGAAAAGTTGCCCATCGAATTTTATGTTTACAGGAGTTACACAAGTCACATTAAACTGGTTTGCAAATTTCTAGCATGTTTGAAATGAACTCGAATAAAACTGAAAACGTCTGTAGGGGAACTGAAATATCCTCCACTTATTTATTTATTTATTTTTTTTTTAACAGAGAAAATGTGACAAGCTTACGCTCTAATAGGCATTAGCAATATTTGCACATGCTCAAAAGGTATGAATTATGTATAGAAATTTCTCTCTCTTTTAGAAGTAAAAGTGTTACGTATAAAAAAAAAAAAACCTGAAACACTTAACGCCTTGCCCACTTTGACCGTACTCATGCCTGTAATCATGCCATACAGAGTGCAGGTAATCCGATTTCTTTGTCGCTTTCACTGTTTTGGCAGTATTTTTTCTATTTTTAATATCAAATTAGTCGTATAGATGGTGGTAGTTGTGAACAAAATGTTAATTTGCGAAGTGTATTCTGTTTGCTCTAAAAGCGTCCGCTTTTTCATAAGTTTTGCATTACACTTCGAGTTTTTGTCTTTAGAGTGTTTAGCTTTTAATATGTGTTTTACAAATTATTTGATAACTTCATTTATATACAAGTAGTGTAAACTAACTGTTGGGTAGAGGTGAGCAAACGTTTTTTCTTATGCACATGCGTATTAATTATGCTGGCGCAGCTGTCTCTTCTCCCGACACATTCGTCATTCGAGTATATGGAGATGGTGAGAAGATATTTGCTGTGTGATGGTCAATATGATTTGCTGTGTGATCTCTTTATTCATTATTCGTGTAAATAAAGTGTGTTGTCCTAAGATGGCTTCTTTACTCTAAATATTGGCCTCTGAAACAACAAATGGTAGCAAAGCATAGTTTTTTAAAGAAGAATTGGATAAAAAATACCAAATCGAAACCGAAACTGTCTTTGGAAGCCAAAAATGGAGAAGTGTAATGTTCCCGAATTAACTGGCGAGAACTATTTTATCTGGGCACTGAAAATTAAAGCTGCCTTATCACTGAAAAGACTTGACTCGATAATTTCGACTATAAAACCAAAAAACTTAGACGAGAAAAATGAAAGATTGTGGAATGAGAAAAACGCTGACGCTGTAGCACATATAAAACTTTCACTATAGGATCAACAGGCGCTTCAGTTCTCCACAGAAGAGAATGCAAAATTCTTTGGGAAAAAATAAAGTCAACATTTATGGGACAAGCCGAAGATCGAAAAATAGATGCCGGTAGCGAGTTAAAAAATTTAGAAAGTTGCATGAGTCGGCTAATGATTATATCGTATGAGCAAGAGGAATAGCAATTAAGTGCCAATCACTAGGACTAGAAGTATGTCCTCGGGAATTGGTGTTTTACACAGTCCTTGGTCTTCGTGGAAAATTCTCTCAAGTTAGGGAAATTGTAAAAACTCAGCGTGAAAAAACAATTGATGAAGTATTCGAAATACTCCATGAGAAGAGTCTACACACAGTTCAACTAATAGAAAACGACCTGATGGAACCAACGCTGAAGCATTCGTATCAAGGAGGAATAAAAACTATAATCCAAGAATTTGTTACATTTGCCGACGGCCTGGTCCAGGGTTGCCACTCAAACAGGAGAATGAAATTCCCTGACTTTTCCAGGTTTTCCAGGTGTGTTTCAAGAAAATTCCAGTCTATCCGCGTAATGTACATTGGCTGTGCTAAGAGGTAAATTAATTATGGTATTACTTGTATTGTGTAGCAAATTCACTTAATTATTCAATAAATCCCAGAGGACATTTATTCTTAATTATTCTTGGTATACTTTGTTTGATAATTTTGTTTAGTTTTCCACTTAAGAAACTTAATAAAATTTAAGAATATATATATTGGATAACAAATGTATGTTTTATTTAATTATTACTCATGATCATCACCAGTTCAACACGAGGCTAATCCGGTCCTTATAAATCACAACGCAATGCTAAATAGTTAGGTTAGATTTTAGGTAAATTTAATTTGCGTGAGGTATGTTCTTAAAACCTTAACACTTGAAAACATAAATATAATTATAATAGTTGTTGTTTTCTCCACTGAAGATTGAGATTAGAATCTTCCCAATCTGCAATAAAATAAGGCTTTTTTTGCAGACATTCTGCAGCTAAACGAGAGAAAGAAATCCATTTTAATAAATTGAGATATTTTATATTTATTTTGCAGCATACATAAGGAAAAAATATGTGCATTAATTTTCGTGATGGTATGTCATTATACTGCTATAATTAATTTCAGGATTATGCCAGAGAAAATTTCCTGAAATTTGGAAATATTATTTACTAATAATAAATAAATTTAGAGGGAAGAAGCAACTTTAACTTATATGAATAACATAAAAATAATTACTTAAAAATTGAATTAGAATAATCATCTATATTTTAGCGAATATAGTTATATTACATGGCTAGCCTAGATGACTGATTACTATTTTTTTATTTTACTGCAAAATGGCAAGGTATTTATTAAAAAGAAAAAAAAAATGGTTTTTTAAAAAAGATTTTGCGGTAGGTAAATTCTAGTATACGGTAAGGCTTTGGCACGATTTTGAAAATTGTCGCCAAGACCAAAATGACCTGTTTACTGCGCATCAAGATGTCGCCAAATCCCATTATTATTCTAACCAAAGAACGTCTATGTAAAGAAGAAAAGGTTCCATACAAGTAAAATGCTATTACTCTGCTAGAATGCGGAGGGAAAATTTTCCAAGGGATTTGGCGACGGAACCTGGCGGTCAGAATTTCCCTCTCCGCGATGTACAGGAAATTGAGAAACACGTGTTAAGAAGAAACGCTCTTTGACAAAAAGAAAACTAAGAAAATCCGTTTTTAAATTTGCGAAAAATCCAAGAAGAAACGTTTTATCAAAGGACGTTTCTTCTTGGATTTTTCGCAATAATTTTAAAAAAAAAGGATTTTCGTAGGTTTTTTTTTTTTTTTTTTTTTCCTCTGAAAATAACTAATCCGTGAATTAATTTACTTGCGCCAAAAAATATTTTCTTTTCCTTTAGAGTTTAACCACTTGCGCTAAGACTAAACTCACGGTTGCCGTGCCGCGCGCTATAATATAACAAGCGGTAAAGTGTCTCATTACTAGCCGCCCTCCGCATCTGCGAGTGCAATCCAGAGCTGTAACTCGAGAAATAAACAGTGTGCACCACGTTATTTTCATTTTTGCGATAAATGCTTATCGACGTGGTGTTCACGTCGCTCGCGGTTTGAGACAAAAGCATCTTGACGTGCGTGGCACGTCTTTTTAGCGCAAGTGGTTAAAGAAATTTTAAACGATGTTCATTTTATGAACTCTTGATAACGTGACCTTCGAACTTCGACACCGGTTTCGAGCTTTGGTGACAGATATATCAGACATGCACAGCTGTTTCCCTCTATGATGGAACGGAGCCACAGCCACATCTGTTGCAGAGAGGTTTTCCTTCTTTACAATACATATTCTTTGATTCTAACCTCCATAGTACCGTATACTAGGATTAAACCCATTTTGTTTTATACGAGAACAGATACTTTCTTTAGTTCATGCACTGCACATGCGATTCTCGAGAATACTGGAAACCAAAAGTTGCGGGAAAAGTTGCTTTGCCTTTCTAAAAGACAATCAAATTGGAGCTAGAGCTGCGAAAATTGGCTCTATGCCAGCTACCCGAAAATGACACTCACGTGATACAAAATTCGCCAAAAAAAGTTACCTCTTCCGACGTCGGCGCAAAAATCGCTTTTTTTTTTTTTTGGCGGGATCGTTGTATGAACTTCCTGACTTTTTCCAGATTTTGACAAAAATACTTAAATTCCCTGACTTTTCCCTGAATATTTTGGTCAATTTTCGAATTCCCTGACTTTTCCCGGTTTTCCAGGTAGCGTGGCAACCCTGCTGGTCACATCGCGAAGGAAGGATTGCTATTACAGAAACAAGAATCCAAAAAGTGAGTTATAAAAAGGTAACAAAGAAAGAAGTCACAACCTACAAATGTGAACATTTTATCTCATTCTCATGAAATAGAAAGTGATTTTACTCTTCAACTTACACGTAGAAAAAATGACGAATGTGACAAAATTTGGTTGCTGGATAGTGGTGCAACTGGACACATAAAGATTC